GCCAGAAACTAACAAAGCCAGGGGGAAACCTGCCACAGACTTCAGCTCATCTAGCCGGCACGCCCAAACTTTCAGGATTGGTTAATAAACCTCCCCCCGACTGGACTCGGCAGACGAGACCTACAGTGGTACTCTGAATGTCAAAAGCAAATCTAGTGTAGCAGAAAACTGTGCCGACCAAAAGCAAACCAACGAACCTAGACCAAATGGGAAAGATGCCCTTCTATTCTTACATGCATGAAATGTGTCTGCCTTCTCCTTCTCTTATGGACCTTCTCCCCATGCATGAAATGTGTTGCCTTCTCCTTCTCTTATGGACCTTGTCCTCATGCATGAAATATGAATGCCTTTTCTTTCTCTTATTATGGACCTTCTCCCCATGTATGAAATGTGCATGCCTTCTCCTTCTCTTATTATGGACCTTCTCCCCATTCATGAAATGTGCATGCCCTCTCCTCCTTCAATTATGGACCTCTCTCTCCATTAGGCTAAGTGACAAACTAGCCCAGTCATCATCACTCCGAGGCAGGAAACAGACAAAGCCAGGGCTAAAACAAACCTGGTGTAGCAGCAAACAATGCCTCTAATTTGTCTCTTCTCCCACTAACGTCTCCATAGACAGACCCACGAATAATGCATCTGTACGTCTGAGCAGCCTAGTTACACCATTACGTCAATCTCCTCGGCTTTCACATGGTCTTATAGCTAGGAAGAAAAAAAAGTAAAAGCGGAAGGAAAATTTTCAAATTATTATCCTTCTCGCTTCTCTTGAAGCACAGCATTCGGTGGGGCAAGCTGTTTGAACATATTTTTCAACACCTTGATCCCTGATTAGGAATAAGTAGGAAGAAGGTCAATAAAGCCTACAAAATAGTGGAAATTCTTGACAGCCTTAGAATGGCTCAAAATTGGTCAAGATCTTCATCAACACTTCAAAAGACCCCCTGCAAAGTTTCATCATCATCAGATCTGTTTAAGGCAGTGAACACAAAAAAACAATTGCAGTGAAATCGGTCTTAACACCCTGAAATGGACCCTGTAACTACAGAAATACTTTTGGGGTGTCAAACAGCTATGGAACCACTACCATTAGATCCGGCATGGTCAAAAACCCCTATGGGTCAAGTTTCAGCTTTATCGGGCGCTCCAAGACAAAGTTTTGGGTAAAACACCAAAAAGAGGTAAGCCGCACAATATTCCTGTGTGGCCTTACTCCATCAAAACACCATTAAATATAGTTTCTTTTACAGTCATGAGCAGTCACTTTTGAGGTCTATATCTCACTTGTTCCAAGATGAATAATTCAATATGTGGAACCCTCCGTGACGACGCCCGAGCAGAGAGAAAAACTAAATGAGAGTCGATGATCCGTGATAGAAGTTGCAAAACATTCAGCAGCAGCACGCCTCATTCGAGCACCCAGATCATGATGCTCAGAAACCCGATCAGCACAAAACCAAATGCATGATGTGCGTGAGGTCTGAGGCTATCTTTGGTCCGAACCTTGCATATGATGAATGGTTGGATTTCACACACGAAGGCTTAAAACCTGCTGTAAAGTTTGGCCACCGAATTTCATGATTCCGGCATAAAACTCAAGAGGACAAATCTTAATCCAGACATGAAATCAAGTTATGTTCATTGCAACGTGATCGTGATGACATGCTCAGTGTGATTCAGCGAAGAAGATACAAAGAAACATTAAGGAACAAGCACATAGTTGATCCAAAGTTTTTAAGATTCATCCAAAATTCAAGTCTGATGATCATGGCTCAAAACATGATTCATGGCTCGAAGTTGGTATCAAAATAATCGTCATGCCGAGCCTTAGAAGAAAACAATAATCTTTCGATCAAATGGACATCAAAACAACCCCGATTCAGCCACAGAAGATCACACAAGTTCGCAGCCAGCAGCAGGGACTGTTCTGGAGTTCCACACATTGTTAGACAGGGGTAAAACAGTCACATTGCACATGTTTTAGAATTTTGTTAAAATTCAATGAAATTATAATTATCTTCAATTTTAAGTAGTTTTCGGGTGTGCACCTATGTTTTAGCCCAATTTTATATAAATAGGCATTGCCTCATTGTAAAAGGACGGATTCATTCTTCTTGAATCAATCAATAAAATTCTGATTTTTGTTTAAGCTTGTGAGTACGTCTTGGACAGAGAGAGAGGAGGAGAGGAAAAGGGTCGGTACCCTTCAAGCATGTAACTTTCTCTCTGCTCCCCTTTTCTCATCTCTATCTCTACCTCTCTTCTTATCATCCCTATCTCTCTCTCCCCTCTTTCTCTCTCATCTCCTTTTCTCATCTCTATCTTTATCTGTCTTCTTCTCATCTCTATCTCTTTCTCTCCCCTCTTACTCATCTCTATCTCTTTCTCTTTTCTTCTCATCTCTATCTCTATCAGTCCCCCTCTTCTAATGCAAGAGGTGAAGGCTAACGTTAGTTGGATTTCTCTCTCTTCTATCAGCCGGTGAAGCCTAGCACCAGCCGAATTTCTCTCTCTTTTTCTGTTAGTCGACGAAGCCTAGCGTCGGTTGGTTTTCTATATCTTTTTCTGTCAGTAAGTGAAGCCTAGCATCGGTTGGTTTTTTCTCTCTTTTCTGTCAGTTGGTGAAGCCTAGCACCGGTTGGTTTTCTCTCTCTTTTTTCTGTCAGTCGATGAAGCCTAACCCTAGTTGGTTTTCTCTCTCTTTTTCTGTTAGTTGGTGAAGCCTAGCACCGGTTGATTTTCTCTCTCTTCTTTAAACAGTCGGTAAAGCCTAGTGCCGACTGTGTGTTCTCTCTCTTCTCCTTTGTATAACATAGTCAGTGAAGCTTAGCATTGACTTCATTTTCTCTCTCTTTCTTCTAACACAATCGGTAATTCTTAGTGCCGACTAGGTCTTCCTTCCCTCTCTCTCTTTCATCCTCTCATCTTTCATACTCTTCTCTTCCTTTCTTCTCCCTCCTCCCTTTTGTTCCTTTATTCTCTTCTTATTCTTTGTTATTCCTTCATTCGACTAAGAGGGATTGAGGTTAGCCTCTCATGGGTAGTCCTATCGTCTAACCATATAATTGGTGTGACAGTATTGCTTGGCTCGTTTTATTGCCACAACAGATTGACCATCGTGCCGAGCTAGCCAGTCTTGATCATGACGTCTCGTAGTAATCCTGTGAGCCGGTCTTAGTTACCGAGCCTGTTTTGCTACCATGTCAGGCCATGTATTCACCAGCTTAGTCACCGCTCTGATCCTCTCATTCAGTAGAATTCTTCTCTTCCTCATCTTTCTTCTCTTCTTCTTTTTTAATGCCCATGCTTGTGTACGTTTATCAAAGCGGAAAAGGGTGAGGTCTGACCCCCCTGCCATATAACCTTTGCCATATATGTGTGATTGCAGAAAACAAGAAAAATACAAGCCAAGGTATGCGATTTCGATCCAATTTTATTACTGGGGGGCTTTCATTATGACTAAGAGGGTGCCCACGTGAGTTTGCTCGAGTGAGTCCTCAACCCACCTTAAATTTCTCTCTCACCGGTTGGTAACACCTGCCCCCATTCCTGAACAAGGTTCCTGAGAGAGTGATCTCAAAAACATATTGGGTCTTCCCTTGATACCCAAGACACACGCCGCCGGATCATCTAGATTGGGAGGGCGAGATCGAGGCACTTAACCACATACGTGCACGCTTGGAGGTGTACACACGACGGAAAGCACGCGCATGACAATGAGCAGGAACGACGATGAACATGCACACGCATGGCAGTAGCACGCACGACAGTGAACACACACCGTGGGAAGCATGCACACGGAAGTGAACACGCATAGTGATGAGAATGTGTGTGGCAGTGCCTGCGCACGGTGATGGGTACACACGGTGAGTTGCATGCACGATTGTGTGTATTTTAAGAGGCATGAAAGTCTTGTAGAATGTCGAGGTAGGGAGAAATTGCCGAAGGCTCTCATGAGCACTCAGTCAATCAGTGGAGTCCCGATCTGGCTTGCAAGGTCTGTTGGAAGCCAAGTCCTCAAGCACAGTAGTGAACTCTATGTTGTTCTGTAGAAGGATACTTATTATGATCAGGGCGTGCTCTTCATCATAGACCAGTTCCTTGCCAGAGGGGTCTGTTTTGGTCATTTGATATACTTGATCTAAAGCCCTTCTATTGTTCCTCTGATGCGAGAGCAGCATTGGTGATCAACTGTCTCTTTTCCTCAGATGCAAGAGGAATGCCGACGATCAGCTGTTCTCCTTTGTCAGAGCACTGCTGATGAGCAACTGTTTTCTTTTTCTCAGATGCAAGAGCAATGCTGACGACCTTTTTTTTTTCATTTTAAACCTATTGTAACTTGTAACTTCTCTTTATTGATTGGAAACTTTGCTTGTTTATGCTGATTGTCTCCCCCTTTTTCTTTTGTATTCTTACTCCTGTTGACTCTTTTTTTTCCCATGATTCCCTTTTGGGTTTTCACCATGTTTGTCTTTTGACATTTTTACTCATGATAACCATTGGCTCTACCATGCCACGTCTTCCTTTTAGACATTTTTTCTTGTGTCGTCCTTTCAAGATTTTTCCATGCCCATCTTTTTCTAGGAGGCATTTTTAGGGTCACCCATTCTGGACCATAGAGATGGTGTATTTTATGGTAACATGCCAAGACCTAAGGGCCTGTTTTAGGGTCTTGCCTGCAAGACCATAAGTCACGGATAGTACTTTTGCAGGTAGCGCCCATTGATATGGAGCATTGCTTCCTTCCCGTCAAGATTAGTGAGTATATAACCTTCATTTGGCCAGGCTTTCTTGATCATGAAAGGGCCCTCCCACTTTGACTCAAACTTCCCCTTTCATCAGCCATGCATAACGATTAGTCATTTTACTGTTAGGAATAAATCACCATGAGTGAATGAGTGGACTTTGACTGATATGTCAAAATTCCTCTTCATCCTTCCGTAATGGAGTTCAAGATTCTGCTGGGCCTCGAATCTCTGCTCATCACGCATGTCTAGCTCTTAGTAGCGAAGCTTAACTTGTTCATGTTCGGTCATATTCAGATATACGGCAATGCACAGCGAAGGGAGTTGAATCTCGAGGGGTAGTACCGCTTCACTCTCATAAACCAATGAATAGGGAGTAGAGTCAGTAGCACTCCAGGTGGTGGTGCGATCAGCCCACAAGGCCTCAGGAAGCTTCTCATGCCAATTTTTCTTTATGTTACACACTGACTTCCTTAGAACACTGTAAAGAGTCTTGTTGAAAGCTTCGGTCCAACCATTTGCCCGTGGGTGGTACATAGCAGAGTACTTCCACTCAAAACAAAACTGGTTAACTAAGCAATCGATATAGTGGCTTCTAAACTGAGGACCATTATCTGATGTGATACGGTCAGGCACACCGAATCGGTAAATGATGTCACGTTGAACAAAGTTAGCTACTGCTATCCTGGGGACACTCTTGAGGGGAATTGCCTCGGCCCATTTGGACAAGTAATTCATGGCGACCATGATGAACGTATGACCCAATGCTGACTAAGGGTCGATGGGTCCTACAATGTTCATGCCCCAATGTGAGAAAGGCCATGACATCACCATAGGATGCAGAGGTTTCGACGGCTGGTGAATGAGATTCAAGTGCATTTGGTACACTGACATCTCTTGGCGTATGCCAATGAGTCTGCGACCATTGTTGACTAGTAATACCCCAGCCTACGTATCAACTCATAGAGTTTGGGTCCTAACTGGTGAAGTTCGCAGATCCCAACATGCATTGCTTCTAGTACACGTTTTGCCCCCTTTGAGCTGATACATCTGAGAAGGATTCCATCGAAGGAATGTCGGAAGAGAGCGTCGCTTTCAAGAAGAGTGTATTTAGTGGACATTCTTCGTACATTGTTGCGCTCAATACAATCGTTCGGTAGCCGACCATGTTTAATAAAGTTGATTATGGGTTCCCTCCAATCCTAACTTGCTCAATCTCGGCACATATCGGATCAAAGGTCTCTTCCTCCCATTTCTCAGTCTGATTCGCAGCTTTTTTGGCTTCAAGAGCATCCTTAGCAGCAAGGAGTGCCCCAAACAAATAAGGAGGACATTTCGAGAAGAGAATCCTTTCATCGTTCCCATCTAATTCTTTGATTAGCCGGATGTGTCTCCATTTGACTACCCATATGGGCATGGGTTCCTTTGGGGAGACTTGAATGGTGGCTTCGAGCTTGGCTAGGGCATAAGCTTGAGAATTCAACCTTTTGGGGATGTTCTGCAAGAAAAGGTCAACGAGGTTTTCCATCAAAAATTTAGCGGTGTCATGATAGGGCTTGAGGCTATCCTTTCTCACATCGTATATTCCTTTAAGTTGTCGTAGCACATGCTCAGAATCACTGAAAATGGCTAGCCGTTCCAAGTTCATTTCTAGGGAAATCTTTAGCCCAATTATGAGTGCTTGATATTCGGCCTCCTTATGCGAGTCTAACTCTGTGAGAGAGACGGATAAGGGGATAACACCATCTTGAGGAGTCAAAAATACCATGCCGTAACCACCTTGCCCAGACTGAAAGGCCCCGTTAAAATACATCTTCCAATCATAAAGTTGTTTGACACAAAACACCTCTTCATTAGGGAGATCACTTGACAGGGGGATTCTATCGGTAATCAGCTAAGGCTTGGCCTTTGATGACTTTCTGTGGTACATACGTGATGTGGAATTCTATCAGTAACAATGACCATTTTACTAAACGCCCTGACAGGCAGGGGCACGTCCCAAGGAACTTGATGGTATCCGCTCTTGAAATACGTTGGATTTCATGGTCATGTAAGTAATGGAGAAGCTTTTGGACAACAAAGATCAAAGCCAAGCACATCTTCTCGATTGGAGGGTAATTCTTCTCAGCTCCTTGCATGTTGCGGCTGAGGTAGTACAAATCGGTTTCTTTCCCCGCCTCAATGTTTTGTGCAACCAAGGGACTCATAGAGGGCGGTCACATACAAAATGAGAGGCCTTCCCCACACTGACGTAGACCGTACTGGAGGGCTTAGCAAATATTCTTTGATATCCTCGAAGGCAGCATGACATCCCTCATCCCATATGAGAGGAGAATCTTTCTTCAACAGGTGTGTAAATGGCTTACAAAGGTCTAAGAGATTGGAGATGATTCTTCGAAAATAGGCGAGCTGGCCTTGTAGAGACCGAAACTCTCGAAGTGTTGTTGGCAGTGGAATTTCTCAGATTGCCTTGATCTTGATTGGTTCGATTTCCAACCCTCGATATCTGACAACAAACCCGAAGAATTTTCCTAAATGTACACCAAAGGTGCACTTCAAGGGGTTCATCTTGAGCTAGTGCTGACGAAGCCGCTCTAACACTTTTTCAAGGTCACGCATGTGAACTTCGTTGTTCTTGGATTTTACCACCAATTCATCTACATAACATTACACCTCCTTGTGCAACATATCTTTAAAAATGGTGTTCATTGCCCGCTGATACGTGGCTCCAGCATTCTTCAATCCGAATGGAATCATCGTGTAACAGAAGACCCCATTAGTAGTCAGGAAGGCGGTGGCCTCCTCGTCTTCTGGTGCCATCCTTATCTGATTATACCCTAAGTATCCATCCATGAAAGAGAAGATTTGGCAATGGGTTGTAGAGTCGATAAGCATTTCTGTGAATGGCAATGGGAAATCATCTTTCGAACAGGCAGTTTTCAAGTCGCGAAATTAAATGCAGACCCTGGTTTTCCCATTCTTCTTTTTAATTGGAACGACATTTGTGAGCCATCTCGGGCGTTTGACTTCCTGGAAAAAACCCTCCTTCCCTGAGTTTATTCACTTCAGCAACGATTTGCATTTCGAGGTCGGGCTGAAATCTTCTCAACTTCTGTTTTATGGGCTTGAAAGATGGGTCAATGCCAAGTCGATGCACCGTAATTTGGGGATCCAGACCAGGCATCTCATGGTAATGCCAGGCAAGGACATCTTGATTTGCACATAGGAAAGCAATATAACTTTCTTTTTCTTCCGGCGACATGTTGGTTGAAATAAAAGTCGGCTTTCGATCAACTTCATCTCCTAAGTTTATCTCCTCGAGATCATCGACCGTAGCCTGCCCATCTTCTTCCCATTCCTCGGGGATTTTGGATTTCTTCCTCCTCCGCAGTTGGTGATCCCGAGGGTTCTTCATTAACCTCGAATGCAGTTACACATGCTCCTGACCTATCTTCCTCAAATAAGGATTTGATGATATGAAACATTAAAACTGCATCAACTTCTTGTTTGACTGAGGAAGGGTCTGCTTCAAGGAGAGGGAGTGTACAAGGTGAATTGTGAGGCACTAGGGTCAACTGGGAAGAGCAGGGCTCAGAAAGCATGAGGGGAGGGCTCTGCATGTCCGCGATCATAGAGACAGCCACCACATCATACTTGTCTTTGTCATAGTTAGCTCTTTGATCTTCTGGACCACAGGTCTGGGTGGTATGGAAGGCTGAGAGGTGGGTTTAGGTAGTGAAGGATTGTTTTGGGGTACCGGTTGTCTTTGCTGTGTAACCAGGTTGGTTTGAAGAGGTTGTGTGGTTTGGGATGGTGCTAGTTATGCAACCCGATTTAGTGCCGACTGGCTAGGTTGTGGAGCTGAGCCTAGTATGGACTGGCTAGATGGAGATTGAGGATTTGAAAACGGATTAGTGTATAGAATCGGTGGTGGTCCCGATAATTTTAGGAGTGGTGGTAGACTGGTTTGGGTATTAAGGAATGGGAGGAGTAGCGGGCCAGGGTACTTCAGGAGTTTGGGCTGCCAAGGCTTCTGGAAGAGCAACTGCAACTTCCTACCTGACCTTAGGCTGATTGGGCCAACGTTGGTCGCTGCTCCAAAGATTTGAACCGTGTTGCATGCTTCGTGAGAAGAGAGCTCTGCCCTCTCAACTCTTTCAGCTGTTTCTTGAAATCGATCGCAAGAGGCCATTAGGGTCTCTTGAGCATGGGATTCTTGCGTTACTTGCTGAGTTCCTCAATGGTGGGAGGAAGCTTAACGTTGGCTCGAAATGCCAAAGCATCAGCGACTATCAAGAATCCACCTGCTTGGGCTAACGTCTTCTTTACTTGCTTTCGATGATGCCTACTGATGTTGTAACCTTTTAGTTCTTTATTAAGGGCGTCGAAGTCTGGGCATTCAAGAGCTGTACCTGAAGAAGAAGAAGGTTTAGAGGAACTCGGAGCAGAGGATGATGGAAAGCTTTTAAGGTCATCACTCAGATCGGGGTAGCTTTTAACCTCATCACCGGAATTGGACCTGTGCAGGGGATCTTTTAAGTCTTCACCCTGCTTGGACGATTGGGGGGCGCTTTTAATGTCATCACCCTTATTGAACGTTTTGGGAACCTGAGGAGAGGAAGGCTCAGGATTGTGTGCTTTGCTGGACTGCGAGTCTTGATTAGCTGAAGCGCCCGACTTGGGGAAGAAATCTCGCATAATCGGCAATGGAAGAAGGGGCTCAAGAAACACCGACATGGTCTGGGGCTGAGGGATTTTCTTCTTTTGATAAACGACCCTTGGTGATTGTCTCCTTTTACCTTTTTCATGAACAGGGATAGGCTGATCAGGATCACGCTGGTTAGGTGCCTCGATCTCACCCTCTGAATCTGGATGATTAGGTGGCACACGTCTCAATTCTCAAGGGAACCCTGGACAGGAGGTCGCTCTTCCGAGAACCTTGCTAAAAATTAAGAGCAGGTAGTCCAACCGATGAGAAAGGAATTTAAGGTGGGTTCGGGACTTACTCGAGCTGGCTCACGTGGGCACCATCTTAGATCACGAAGAAAGCCTCCTAGTCGTAAAATTGGTTCAGAATTGCCTTCCTTGGCTTGTATTCTTCTGCTTTTGCAATCACACATATATGGAAAATGTTACAAGACAAATAGGTTAGGGGACCCCACCTTGCCTTTGGGGAACGTACACAGGTGTGCACGTTCCAAAAGAGCAAGAGAAGAGTGAGAGAAGACAGAATAGGATTAGAAGAATTTGATCAGATGGTGAGACTGACATAGTGACTAAACTCGCAAGTAATTGACCGGACGTGACAGTAAAATGGACTTGGTGACTCAGACCGGCTCAACAGAATTACTGCTAAACTACAGTACCAATACCGATTACCTAGAGACAATGGCTAGTCTGTCGTGGCAATAAAGCGGGCACAGTAACTCTAACTGGAACAACAATTTTATGGCTAAATCACAAGACTACCATGAAAGTCTAGTCTCAACCCTTCTTAATCAAACGAAAGAGTAAAAGAAAGAATAGAGATCGAAGAGAGAGAGAGAAAAGAAGAAAGGATAAGAGAAGGAGAAGAAAATAGAAAGAAGGGGAGAAAGAGAAGGAAAGGAGAAGAAGAGCGTGAGAGAGGATAGTGGGAAAAGAAAGGGTAAATACAAATACAGAGGGCAATGAGAGAAGGAGGGAGAAGACTTAGAGGGCATTATGTCCCCGCTGGCTGTGACGAGTAGGGGAAAGAA